AAGTATGGTGTCGAAAAATAAACTACTTGACAATTTTAAGACAATATATGCAATGTTTTTATAATAATAACCAACTTATTTAACATTTAACGATTTAAAGAACGAAATTTTTGTATATATAGAGTATTAAAAATTTAAATTCTGGGGCTAGAGATATCGATAAACTTAAAGTGGAGTCATACTGAAATAAATCCGGCCAAAGAATCATTTAAATTTTTAGATAGCCGATTAAAGTGAATTTTAAATTAAGGATAATATCTTCACTTGCATCATTATAAAGATAATTATTATTATAATATATATAAAGTTTTAGAAATTGAAATTTCAAAATAGAAATATTTTTTAAAGATAAAATCATACCAAATAAGAGTTCAAGTCGTAGTATAAGAGTCACGTCGTAATCAAAGAATCATTTATATCGTGTCAATCTTTGTGCTTTGCCATAAATATGAGTTATTATTTCACTTTGTGGTTATTTTTAGATTCCAACGACACCTATGAGAATAGTGCAAAAATAAAATTATCACTACGAGAATTGAGAAAATGTTAGTCTTTTTTCATGTAGTGTTTCTTAATTAATATCTGACGATTATCTATAATTATTTAGAAGGTTTAAATATTAAGGTTATTTACATATAATTCAAATAACTTAGATATTTAACATGGTTAATATCAAAAATCAAAATGGAGTAAAAAAATTCACTAGCTAAAGAATTTTTTATATTTTTAGATAGCCAACTAAAATGAGTTTTGAATTAAGAATAATATTTTCAATTACATTATTATAAAAATATTTTTTATTGAAAAATAATGTTTTATAAAATGAAATTTTAAGAAAGAAATATTTTTTATGAGATATCAACACACCAAATAAGAGTTCAAGTAGTAGTAGAAGAGTTAGTCTTGTCCAAAGAGTCATTCACTGTCACAACATTTGATTGTTTTGCCATAAATATGAGTTATTATTTTGCTTTCTGACTATTTTTATGATTCAATGACACCGTCAAGAATGGTATAAAAAAAAATAGAAGAAATTGTTAATTTTTTTCATGTAGTTAATAATTATCTATATTTACCGAGAAAGTGTCAATTTTAAGATTATTCACATATAATCTAAATAACTTAAATATTTGACATAATTAGTGTCCGCGCATGTACTAATACTAGTTATAATGTATAAGTAGATAATAAAAGATTGTACGGAATGCAGATATTATGTTATCAATTTTTTTGTGTAATCATGTATTGCGAGTAAATTACCTAAATTTGACCTTATTTTACACACAGCAGCTCAACCCATTTTTCTTCTTTTTCTTTTCTTTTTTCAGTCCTTTTTCGGCTGAACCCTAAACTGAAAAACCTCAGTTGCCATTTTCCTTTCCCTTGCAAGAAACACCCACAACCATATTCAAAGGTCAGCTTCCCCAAGCTCTAAATATTCAATCTTTCTAACACTATACTCTTTCTATTTTTAGTTTTTTTATCGATGCTGTGGTGATTAATAATGATTTGTACTGTGTAGAAATATTGAAAGAATCCATGGCAGAAGTGGGTGAAGCTACTTTATGTTGTGCTCAATGTGGCAAGCCCGCTCATCTTCAGTATGTTTCCACTCTTTTTAACTTTTGTGGTCTTTTTTCAATTGTAAAAAAGATGTTTTTGTAATTTTCTTTGTCGAATTTGATTGCTTGGGTGGCTTTGATACAAATATATGCTTTATGATATTCAACTGAGTTTGAGGTTATGCATATTGCTTACTTATGTGTTCGGATTTTAAGAATTAAAGATTAATTTTTAAAGAGTTAAGTCGATTTTTTTAAAGCGGTCAAGATGAAAGAGGATACTCTAATTCCAGTAGGTGGAGAATGGTAATTTTAGTTTTATGACTTGAAGATGAAACTGGGGATTGATGGAAGGGATTAGAGTTAGATCGTAGTGTGTCACCTTCATTTCTTTGAGAATAAAAAAGACGACTGGAAATTGTTATCCTTAGATAATACATCTGATTACAAATATAAATTGTGCTAGGGGATTTTTGTGTTCTTAATGTAAAACTCAATGTTGCAGTTGGAGTATAGCTTCTGTTGTTGGCAAAGGTAGTACAATGCGAGATGTTTATCATCCTAGCTGGTGAAACAAGTATGGTATCTAAGTGGTGATGAAAAGTAGAGGGCAGGCCCATTATCATATGAGTTTAAAGCTGGAACTGGTGGATTTCTTGGTTCTCAAAAAAAAAAAAAAAGGTTCTATTGTGGTTTAAAGCTGAGTGGCTGAAAATTCTGAAGATATTCCAGATATAGTAGAGTAATTCATATGAAATGGAGAGATGGATATTCTGAAAAATTCCTTGTTTATCGCAATAAAAAGAGGAGGGACAAAGTAATTCTGACGCTGGTGTCTCCATTTTATGCTTTGGTCAGCTTATTTTGTTCCTTGTTTCGTTTCGTTTCCTCGCTGTGTGACCTTGTATAATATTTTTGTTGATTTTCATAAATCATATAGAATTCCATTTTGACGTACTGTATCTGTGAGGGTATCATAAACTTACTTTTGGGGACCTTTGTTGATCATCCTTGGAGTTGAAAATTTGATGCATCCAATACCTGTTGGCAATTGCTTTGGGTGATCTTTCATTTGCTTTTGTAGTTATACTGCCAATAGTTGGTCTTTTAGTGATGTTACTTTCACAGAAGAGTTTCTATAGTCTGATTTCTCAGCTAATTTATTTTTCCTACTATTCCAAGGTGTCCCAAGTGCGTGGAGTTAAAACTTCCTCGTGAAGGAGCTGCTTTCTGGTTTGTAGCTATGACCATTCTCTTTCTGAACTATCTTTTCCATCTTTCGTTATTGAGCTGAAGCTTAATTTTGTGATTACTGATATGCATAACTATATCATAGCTGAAACCATCAATCTGTTGGAAATAAACCTTTTTTTGGGTAACAGCTTGTACATAGGATGTATATGTTCGGTATAGCTCTTGTGATGCTAGAGAGGGATAAGGGTGTACCTGCTGCTCGTTAAAGATTTAATGTGTGCATATCTCTGCACCTTTAATGCTATGTTTGCAGAATTTTCTATAATAGGACTATTTGGCACATTGCAAAGCTGGATTGCCTATTTGCATAAGTTGTTCTATGTCAAAAACTTAAGTTTTCACTGGTGGGAACTGGACTAATTAAAGGAAATCATAAAATATAACATTGCTGCTAATAAACAAAAAGTTATAAGGATTGCAACTACCTGTCTATGAGACCAATGTAAAGTGGAACTTGAAAAGTTATCTGCTGCTGTGTGCTGTGATTGTGAACCAAAAAAATGGAAGGCTAATGAGATGAGGCTCTCTTTCGATAAAAAATATTTAGATCTTTGTCTTCTCTGGTCATTAGCTTGATACTTTGGTTTTGATGCAAGATGCTTCTGGTCAGCACGCAGGATTGTTTCAAGTCATCTTGGAGCTCTCACAAGTCTGTCCACTTGAAGGCAAAATTATCTTCTCTGGGAGCTGAAACTTCAGGAACAGCCTCACCTAGCGATGGTTGGCTATATTGCTTGAGGAAAGGACAGGCTCGAACACCCAAACTTCCGCATTTTGACTGGGCTGGGTATGTTTGAGATGGTTCTTACTCTTAGCTAATGAATTTTGTACTTACCTCTCTGATGTTACTTTGTTGAGGATTGCTATGGTTTCTCTTCAATTAGAAAAGGTAGAAGTTAGAACAACACATTTATTAGTATAATGGACTACTTTTAACTTGATCTCAGCTAGTTTATGATGAAACTAATACTGGCTGGCATAGCCTATTTTGGAGTCAGTGTGTTGCTTTCCTCCTCTACTTTTTTGGATGCTTTTTTTGATTGTCCTTAACCTCGTTGGGTTTTGGAATGCATATTTCAACTGACATTTAGTCCAGCTATAGTTTCTTAGACTTGCTTGCTCTGGCGCGGAGAATCACTGAAGGGTCTTGACAAGTTCCTATTGAAACTAAAATAGGGTAGCATAGTCTATTTTGAGTCACAGTGTTTCTCTTCCTAGTCCTAGACTTAACTGGATTAATGAAGTCTTCTTTGCTTATTTCATGTTCAAATTATGTAAACCTTATTTTATATATCTTTCTGCAATTCTCACTGCCTTTTCTCTTAAACCTTTCTTAAAGAAAATTATTCAAAACTCATCTAGTTCTCTTACCAGTATTTCTTTCTCAAAAAAGAAAATTATTCAAAACTTATTTTTGCTACCAAAACATGGTGTTATAAACCTAAGTGGTTGTCCAAGCAGCTATATGTTATAAAGAGTAAATAAACTTTTGAGTTCTCTGTATTTTGTAAAATGATTTTCTTTTTATTATTCATTCTTTTGTACTTCAATGAGAGTAAAGTAAGTTCTCTTCCCATTTTATCAGTCAAACATAGCAAAAATCTAAGATTAAAGAAGAACTTCTCGAGGCTAGAAAAGACCACTTCTTTTCCGGCATGATCTAATAGTTTCCGGCGTCCTTTCTCAGAGTTTTATTTTTAATCATTCATCAGTGATTAATCCTAAAACTTCTTTTGTTTCTGTATGGGGGAAAATAGGATTTACTTTGCTGCAGGTTTTAAATCTTATGATGTCACAAGACTCAAGTCTAGGGCAGAAACTTGGTTCGAATGGGTGGAAAGGAGCCGTAATCTGATGCGTAGAACAACCTTCAGCTGGAAATCCATGGAATGGCTATGTTTTGTTCTTCAGGAGGCTTCCAGAGATGCTGGTACACATGTAAGGAAATGGAAATTCAAAGAGCAATATTCAATCCTTTTTGGCTCCCGGAAGAACAACAAGTTTGGAAGATTTATAAGCTTTGTTTCAGTCCAAGGCGACAAAAGATCCGTAACTATTATTCCTGAAGTTGCATTAAATTCGGGATGGCATGATATTGCATTAAAGATCAGGAGATTCATTAATGCAGATAGAGGAGCCGTTATGACAAATGGGGCCAGGAAGATAGATCCCAAATTTTCATATACAGAGTCTGTCAAAGCCAGCAAATGGCAAACGAGGAGTCCAATGAAGTTCATATACAAAGGGCCCTAACGACAAAATCCGAATTTCTGGT